GACTTACTACGTTAAAAGGCTTCATGCTTTCGGCATTATACGACATTTACTTTTACAGTTTGTTAATTCCGCCATATTACGTATAATTCATTACTGTTCTCCATTATTCTTTCCCGGACTTTTGAGAGAAAACTTTGCTACATTGTGAAGACTGCTGAAGGCGGTTGGCTAAGTGTGTGGTGAATCTTTTGAAGTCATTAGTAATATGATTATGGATAGACATTTAAAATCTCACAAAAACCTGACAATTGTTATCTTATCAGATGCTAACCATCCCCTTCCTTCATATCTTTCTCCTTCTGTATCGTCTTGTAGAACGAGACATCAACACATTAAAATCCATGCACGCAAGCAAAAGTATAGAAGTTCTATAATACTTTATCTAGCAGAAATACTCTGTAACGAACAGGTTATTAGAGTTCATTTAGTCAGTCACGTGTATTCTTACACAAGCTTTTGATTGGAAAGTTGTACAGATTCAGATCTTTGTTTTCATCTTTTCCCTTTCTCTGTTTTTGTAAAAGAAACTTGTTGAAATACCCCATGCTGAGAAATGTTTATTGTACCAAAAACATAATATTGAATGAAGCCATCAATAATAATAATAATAATATTAATAATAATAGTCAGCTTATAATTGGTCAATACAGATGATAGACATATCGGTCATTTTTATGAATCATTTCATATGCCATGGAATTAGTCGAACAAATGTACAGTGCTAAATGTATCTTTGAAATACACAAGTTCTATGTACAAACGACCCCGCCCATAATTTCAAACTTAACATTTATTCTAAGCAATATTAACTGACTTAAAGACATGTGTAGTATAATGCATAGTAAAAAATATACGAATATTATAAACTTTACATCTTGAATTGCAAACATAATTAGAATGTATCATAAGGGAGTTTGTGGATATTGTAGTAATTTTAATAGTTAAGATCATGAGTCAATTAAAGATAGACCACCATGGAAAACCTGGAAGCATTGGACGGATGCATAGCTCATCCACCATCCCGAAATCAGGATCTAACAGTCTTACGCGCGATCGGTTTACCTCTAAACCACTGGTGAACTCCAACCGTATCTGTTGTGAGATAGTAACTCACTGAAGGCAATGGTGGATGTGTCGTTCAATTTCATAGATTAGTTGAAATTAGATATTAATACAGTTGGATGCCGTCTCAATGGTCTAGCTGTTAAGCATTCGCACTCGAGAACGATAGACCCTGGGTTCAATTCCTGGTTGTAAGGTATTAGGTGCGCACTACTGAAGAGTTCCACACTAAAGCAAGACTGCCGTCCAGTGCTTCCAGATTTTCCATGGTGGTCTAGCTTTAATTGACTCATAAATTCAACTATTAAAATAATCAGAATGTATTGTTTCAAATTATTATCATTATTAATGGCTTTATTCAATATCATATTTTTGGTACAATATAGGAATTTCTGCACAAAACATTTCGCTAAGTTTCCGTTTTTCCTTAATTGATCTAAATAGTTAATATTGATTGATCTTTAGTTAGATATTAGCAATTCACAAATGAGACATCTGAATAATGTACATTCTTTTTAATGGATATTACCAGCCACCATAATATCTCTGATTGATCTCTTATATAATATGTACAGAGAAATATCATAAACGTTTCACAAAAACATCTGAATAAGTTATGAGACTAATAGGATATAATGATTTGTTCAAGTAAACAAAAGACAGGCAACTTTTTAAAATATCGAGTTGGTAGGGATAGGTGTTTATTTAGCCGATTGCATAATATTACACGTTTTATTTCACATAACAACATGTCTATAATAAATTGAATAACTCTAGTCTATCTCTTAAGATTATATATACATATATATATATATATATATATATATATCTTTTTTTCTCTGATTTTAAACATATTCTTGCATAGTTGTTGATTATTCTGATTTATTCAACAACATATTTTGTTTAGTATTATGTTAAATGAAGCATAATCTGATCATTAGTAATGAAACTTTTCTTTATTTACCAAATATATGAAAAATATTTACCTAGTGTTTGATTTAGTTTCTATCTAACATCAATGAATTGTATGCTTAGAAAGGTTTCATGATTAAAGAAAATGAACATTCGATATACTACTGAAAAGAAAACAAATACTTTTAGAATACTAATGATTATAAAACGAAGAATATTCTCTTCAAGAATTTCTCTTCAGGTTCCACAATTATCTATCGAGATTAATAATCGATAAAGTGATCAGGTTTCAGGCAAAATACATTATTTAAAATGGTAGTATATAAATTTATGATTGTTTGTAATTTACAATGAAATCAATGTTGAATCAATGTGAATAGTCATAAATTCTCGGAGTTCTAGTGAGAAGTCATGACCAGTGGAGCTAATCCATGTCGGTTAGAGATAGGTATCTATCTTAGTAAAATAAAAGATGGTCGGGCAATTTCGTGGATTGGTTGAGATTAGACATTAACACTATTGGATGCTGGCTCAGTGGTTTAAAGGTTAAGCGTATGCGCATGAGACTGAAGGCCCTGGGTTCGAATGCTGCAAGCGAGATCGTGGATGAGCACTTCTGAGGAGTCCCACGATAGGTCAAAATGGCGTCCAATTCTTCCAGGTTTTCAATGGTGGCTTAACATTAGTATGTTCATGATCTCAACCAATAAATTTATACGTCCAATGAAATGGTTATGGAGATTCAGGATCAGAATTAATATGGGTCAGATAGGATGAGGGAATTGATAGGATAATTAAAAAATAGATGGAATGTTTAATGGAAGAATATATTGTGTAAAAGATTGCATGGAATCAATCAGAAATCATAAAAAGGGGTGAGAGCTATGTAGATTAATTCTGTATTCGAGTAATGAGTAGCGATGTTAAGCCAGTAGCATTAATAATATTAAGATAATAATATGTATAATAATAATAATAATAATAATTATTATTATTATTATTATTATTATTATTATTGATATTATTTTAGTGGCCCTCGAATATCTGACTTCAATTGGATAGTATGATTATCGTTATCGACTTGTAAATACCTCCAATCCTCGTATAAAATTATCAGCTTAAATAGTGTCAGTCAATTACGGAATTAAATAAGTCAAATACAAGATAGAACTTCAAATACATGGATTTCATACAATCGTTTATCCAGACAAGAGATAGAAGAAACGAAGGGAAGAAAGAGAAGAGAAGAGAGCGAAGCGAAACGAGAAGGCATGTAAGCTAAGCGTGAATCGATATTTATAGTCAGACAAAATAAGTTACAGATATATGACGAATACGGTAAGCAATGCACGTACACATGATCATACAAAAACAGTCAAGATTGATAAGTGAATAATTAACAAGGTCAAAATGTGACTCAAGGAGGATGGATAAATTGATCATTCTGGAAGCTCGAATAAGCCATGTGGGCTTGACATAACAACCAACACTTCAATATCATACAAAGATATATGAATCAATCATGACATAGACAACTGTATTTAACCAAGAAACGTTGTAAGTACATTAGTTAAATTAAGTGATTTAAATAGTTAAGATTACTATTAATTAATTGACCCTGAGGTTTGCTAAGGCAAGAGGCGGTTGATGACATTTGTTTCGTACTCATAACCCTGGGTTTTTAATCCTAATAACTACTACTTTTACCATTTGAAGGAATTTAAGTCTAACAAACTTTGGCAAAAAATTACTAAAGAATTACAAAAGTCATCAGTATTATAAGCAGAGATGGATAATGGCTAGCAGTTCAATCTAGGATGCCCGTTTCATTCTAATTGAGATGCATCAGATAGGTGTAACTGCGTATCAACGTTGATGTTCACAGTGATACTTGAAACAATCACTTTTCATTAAAAATACTTAATACATCCGCTAAGCTAACGGATCCAGAGAACCCTTATCGTGTTCAGTCGGTATGAAGATCATCTTCAAAGGATTGTTAAGGGCTGTAATTCGTCAGACATTTTAATCATTTTTCTATGAAAAATCAGAATAATGGTAAGAGAATAATTTGTTTAAAAATATATTAGAAGAGTTGTGGGGTCTTGATCTGACTCCAGTTCCATCCTACGAAGATGCTGTAAACATAAATCTTCCATTTGACTCCGTATATTACCTAGGCCAACCTCGTTTGTGTGACAGGGTTAATAAGAAACCAAATACTGGTTGCACTAAATGAATTTATTACAGGCACTCGTTTATCCAGACTGAGATTTACAATAAGAAGCAGGAAATCAAGGCTAATCGGATAAGACGAGGGAGCTAACTCGTTTTGATAAAGCGAGACTCGATATTTATAATCACAATAATTAGCTACGCACATGTGACGAATAGAGTAAACAATACACGTACACACGCTCATGTAAAATCAGTCGAGATTAATGGGTGAATAATTGACAAGGTAAAAATGTGACTTGAAAAGAATGAATAATTTGGTCTGTCCAGAATATATAATAACTCAAGTGAGCTTGACATACTAGTGGACAGTATGGACTAAGGCATCTAAATGAATATGAAGTGTATAGATCCTAACTTAAAAATAAGTGAATTGGGCTCAGCTGTGTCATACTGAAATGAGTTGACTATTCCAAAACTCAATTATTTACAAGGTCATTTATGTAAACAAATTCTTGTTTGATAATCACAAAATAATTTAGTATACCTGCATTTTTTATTTGACTTCATATAGTTGAATGATAGTAGATAGGGTGCCATGGACATAAGCTTTGTACAAGATATCATTAATAATCAATTCATGTTTACTGTATATTTCTCATGAGATTACGATACGCATCACTTAGTATCACAGAAACCTTACAACAAAGTCTCTTAGTTGTCACTGGCACTATTGCACTAAGATGTTTACAGTGATAAATTTATTGAGGAGTGACATATCGTTCAGTAACACACGTGTAACTCTCATACGTTGATCCACTAAATTTTTTCTTTAATCTGAAAAGGTTTAAGCTTACGACAGATAAAATATACGATACAAGTGAATTTAGCCTGTTTCCCTTTATGGTTTTCTTACAAAATATGGCTCACACATACTGTTTAAGACTATTTGCAACTTATATATTGTATTAAGGCATCATTATGTTAGAGCATCTAATTCATTGAAATGAATCGTTGCAGGTTATCCTATGTCAATGATTCATTATCTATAGTCGTAATGAATATATCATGAGCCTAAAATCAGATTCTGTCTAATTTTAATCATTAATTCAGTGAAGAAATTGAATAGTCGGGATCACACTTAAATATATGTCATTGATATTGTAGTAAACAAGAATACAATTGAGGACAATCGAATGTAATTGAATACACAAATTCCAAAACATCTTTCTAATATCTAGGAATCATATAGTGAATCCTTAATTTGCAAAATATCAATCAATTATCTCAAAATTAACTGGGTTTTTTTTTTAATTGTACATCAACTACCTTTTGGTTCTCATTCTATCCTCCTTAATCTTCTTTACTTTATACTATCCAACATTCTATTTCTGACTAGTGTTATATACTACTTATATCGATATTAGTTACACATATACACACGCACATCTCAATAGATCATACATATATCGATATATAGTTTCCCCTAGCAACAGAAAACATTCTAAAAAGGTACATGATTACATAAATTGTATCCATCAATCAAAAAAAATGAAAAAAAATATTTTAAAAAGAACGAAAAAAAAATCTCTGTTATTTCCATTTATATTTTATTTTTAATATTTTCTTTTTTTTAATTTACAATTAAATATTTTTTTAAATTCTTTACGAAATCTTGATCCAACAGCACAATATAAATAAAAATTGATAGCATGATTTGTATACATTAATACTTCAGCTATACTATCAAATAATTCTAATATAATCATATTTTCAATAATAAATTGTTGTTTCCATGCTAATAATAATTTAATAAATACAACTGGTGCTGTTGTAATTAAAAATACACATGATATTAACATTAATAATATTGTTAATTGACGCATTTCATTAGAATATAAATGAGATGATCTTGAAATTACATTAATTGGTTTATTGGGCGTAGTAATACCTTTTAGATTCTTATTGTTATTATTATTATTACTATTGTATGGTTTTAATTGCATAGTCACACTTGGATGTTTACATTTACATAAGTTCATATTAATCAGATGATGATTCTTTGTATGAGATATACCAATATTATTAGTATTATTACTATTATGCAAATCATCACTATGACAACTGTTCAAAGAATCAGTACTTGGAGTATGTGGTATTATCATTTGTAAATGTAATGTATTTTGTTTTCTATTATATAATGATGAAGAACATAATGAAGATGATTGATGATTAGAATTAATAATTTGATTCATTTTTATTGATAAATTACATAATCTTTCATTATTATTATTATTATTATTATTATTATTATTATTTTGATGATGATGATGATGATGAATATAATTAGAATGAATAGGATTATTATCAGTAGTATATGGATGATATAAAAATTTTGTAGTGAATTGTTTTTTACCAATTAAATAAGCACGTTGTTTTGTAGCCCAACGTATATTAATTAATATAATTATATTTGATATTAATATAATAATAAATGGTAAATAACTATATAATGTAGCATCAATCCATATCCATATAGATTGAAAACCATTTTGTTTAAATATAGAATAAAAATCACATATTAAATTATTTGAATCATATAAATGATTATTAAATAATTGTATAGTATTATTAATATTTAATATTGAATAATATTCATTAGTTGCTAAGGTAAAATTTATATGATTTTGATCATAATAACTAGAATTAATTGTTACTAAATTAACAGTAAAAAAAAAATGTATACTTATAATTGATGATAAAATACATAAAATAATAATTGATATATATGAACGTTTAATACGATTAATACATAATGAATTAATTGGTGATATAACAACTATAGTACGTTCAACAGTAATTAATACAATAATCCATACAGATATATAACTTGTTGTAACACCAATAAATTGTATTGATTTACATAATAACCAATGTTTATCTTCTAAACGTATTAATAATAATTTATCTAACCATCTACGTAATAAACCAATACATAATACACCTTCATCAACAATAGCTAAATATAATAAATATATATGTGATGATAAATATAATGTAGTATGTTTATAAAATACTAAAAATGAAAATAAATTACCAATTGTACCAATAAAAAATATTAATGGTGGTATATAATTCCATATCATTTCAATTGTTTGACATATCATTATAACAGAAAATGGAATATTATCAGAATAATAATGATAATAAGGATAATTACTATCATTATTATTATTATTATGATTATTATACATTGAATCCTCTTGTACAGGGATTAATAACTTATTCAATGAAGTATTATTGTTGAATACATTCAATGGATCGCTTCTAGCATTTGTTGAATAAATATAAGATGATGTTAAATTAGTCGTAATATTTGTATATCTATTTAAAAAATAATCCGTAGATGATAATTTTTCTATATTATTGGATTGATTATGAATTAAATTCATAGTTGATAAAAGAATTGATTCTATAGATGGTTTTTGTACTATTGAATGTTTTATATAATCACAAATAAAATATGAATTAATTGAAGTCATTTTATTCGATTGATTATATACAAAATGATGAAAACAAATTTTTTAAAAATTTTCTTTTTTCTATAGTAACTATTTGATTTTACATTAAAAATATAAGTTTATCCTTTTAATGAATTGACTAATGTACAAATAAATTATGGTATTTTTATTTGATTGGTCAAATTAATAATTTATTTGGAATAATGATGTGATTGGTTAATTCAGGTAAATAATTCAAATAGAGTGTAGTTTTAATTTTGGTATGTTTTAATTAGGATAGAATTGGATTAAAAGTGCTGGTGGGTGGCTTATGCTCCTCCGCAAGAGAGGTAACAGGCGTAAGTGAGTAAGTAAGTTAATCGGCAATCAATTCACGTGTGAAGAAAAACTGTCACTGATAAAACATAAGTTATATATATATATATATATATATATATATATATATATATATATATATATATATATATATATATATATATATATATATATATATATATATATATATAAAAGGAACTGAGTGGATTTGTATTTTGGGGAATTAGTCGATGGAGTAGAAGTTTGTCCACCTTGTGGTTTGTTTTATATCATTGAGTGTATTTAGCTGGGGCTTCTTTGAGAAGCTAGTAGCATCAAGAATTTCTGACCTAACACATACAGATATCCAGAAGAAAAGTATAGTAAATTAAATTCACATAACATCGGTTTGTGGGTATTTGGTATTAGTAGGATTCAGAACAGTTGTGTTTTTTTATTTATGAGTAGTCATTTGTGTTTAACTACATCCCAAAGTTATTATTCAGAATAAGACTGCAACCTGGTTACCAAAGACCTGGTTTTGACAGTGATATACAGAGCGTTTCTTATCTCAGTGTGATTATCAACACTTAGAGCTAGTTTTATTTGTTTTCCTGAATCCTAATTCTGGCTACTATCCATAATATAGTCGTTTCAGTTTATTCACAAAATAAATACATCATAGTTAAACTAAATTGAAGAACTACTTCTAATGAAGTCATTGTATCTTTACAAACACAGTGAAAATCGATGACTAATGAAGAAATGATTATAAATGCTTATTGCCTGCTTGTAAATATTCTCTTCTAAAATTTCTAGTCAGGTATTTTTTATAGTAATATGATTAATAAATACAAATCTAGCTTGCGAAACAGTTTGACAAGATCAGTATAAATTAGAATGTGTTTTCAATAGTGGTGCTACTGAATATATTTGTTTGCATTATGCATAATGTATAAGACAGCTGTTTGTAAGTAGTTGTTCTTCGAGAGTTGAATTCTTTAGTAGATTCAAGCTAGACCACCATTAGAAAACCTGGACTCACTGAACATCCATATCGTCCTAGTATGAGACTCATGAGACCTTTGCATCAATATCCAACGGTGTTGATGTTTAACTTCAACCAATTCACGATATCGTGCGACCTTCCATCAATGTTTTCAGTGAGGAACTCCTACACAACATACATGGTAGAACTCCACTAGTCACGGTTTCTCGCTAGAACTCCAGGAAATAACTCTTGAGACAGTCACTATTAAAAACATGATAGTTATTGTCAGAATGGGGGTTTGTGGAGACGATATAAGCCAGACAACCATGGAAAACCTAGATACAAGACCAAAGGTTCAAAGTTCGAGTCTCATTGAGAAGTTCCATACGAGGAAAACATGGCCATCCAGTGCTTCTAGGTTTTTCATGGTCGTCTATCATAAATTGACTTATGATTCAACTATTAAATTACTACAATCTTCTGATAGTTATTCTTTGACGAAAAAATGGATCTCCAACATTTTATGCTAAAAAGAAATAACAACCTTAACTATACGTGCATATATAATACTTCAAAGTTGTAAATTAACTTGAACACTTTTCAATTACATTTAGGAACGGTACAGCTTCTAATAATTAAAAATATTAGTATCAGAAGGGGTTTTGTGGAGATTGTAGTAATTTCAATGATTAAGATCATGAGGAGTCCCATAATAGGACGAAACGGCCGTCCAGTGCTTCCAGGTTTTCCATGGTGGTCTAGCTTCAACTGACTCATGATCTTAATCATTGAAAAATATTAGTGTTCACAAAATATCAGTTATGAGAGTCAAATGTTACGTTTAAATGTTATATACCTTACAAGAAACTAAATATTTAATAAATGGTCACATATAAAAGTGTACACGGAACCATTATTCTTATATCATTAGCATTGAATCGTTCAATTTATCCTGTTGTTAATATGAGTAGACCAAAGTTTGGTTAGACTTTTTAAGTATGTGAACATCCTTTATAGATTTTCTTGATATGGTCACATATGGTCATAAGTTATTTTAAACAGATCGATTGTGACTAGAAGTAGAATCTATTATTCCCATTTTGTCTTATTTGGAACCTATTAGATAAATTTACCTATGAATCATCTTTGATTTTCACATTAGAACTCGAATCCAAGTTTTTCTCACTTTAAATGAAGCTGATGAACCTGAGGTAGGACGAAATGTATATCATAGATTTGTTCTAAATGATATGACAAAGTAATCTATGTATAAAATTTCTTTTACCTTGAGTTTATTTAGAGATTATATATATACATATATATTAACAATACATTGTAACTTAACATATGTAATGGTCAAAATAAACAGAACGGAGTTTGTTCTTTTTTTAAAAATAAAATATGTGATTTCTAACCTCCATCAAAGATATATTACAAAGGATGATGGAGATTAAAACAAATTTATCTTCTCTTATGTAAATATACTTATGGAATTAGACACAATATCAAACAATACACTAGAACAGTATTTAACTGTATAAAAAGAAATGTTAGGTAACCATATGGTCTACATAGATCATTTCATATAAAAACTGAATAAGAAATAGGTTGATATTGCTTAAGGCAAAGGGATAGAAGGCTAACAATATCATTTAAAATTTATGATAAATCAGAATTATTTCTAATATACAATGAGTTATACAGTTGATTAACTTTATTGGATAGTAGTCAAATTTATATATATATATATATATATATATATATATATATATATATATATATATATATATATATAGAATTAGATAATGATAAATGTTAATTGGTTTGATAACATAATACTGGATAGGAATTATTATATCATAAGATTACATTGCTATTGTTATATCCCGACAAGAATTATGAATGTTAACTTTTGAGAAGTATATATGGACCAATACCATACATACATTTTTATGATATAATCTTTAAGTAACTAAACAATGCATATTCATTTACCTCTTATTATGAGCATTATTTTAATCCATAGACTATTATTATACGATTTACCATTCTTAAGTTATGCCCAGTTTATTAATTACCGTCTACCACATTCACAGCCACGTTTAACTAGATCTTGTACAAATTTTGTTTCTTATTCTATGGTACGATGTGGTCTGTTTGATTAATATGTTTGAGATAGATGATTCATATTAGATGGTGGTTGAAGATAGTCGACAGGAAACCCTGGACCCGGGTTTCATGCTACTTGGCACTCGTCAGCAAGGTGTACATATAATCTTGAGGGAACTGGTGCTCCCTGACGGATTCGATCCCGTGTCACCCGGGTTCAGGGTTTCCTATCGACTACTTCCAACCACCATTTAATCCCAACATAGTGCACACAGTGTCGAGTCACCTAGACTGGTAGCCACATTTCAACATGTTCGATAACATTCGATCTGCACCAACAAGAACTTGACACGCATGACATTGATCACCACCCAGTGATCAATCAATTGAGATAATTCATATCACAGAGGATGAGATTGGTTTTATAAACTTAACAGGCAGGACTAGTTAAGAAGAAGGACCGGGAAGTACTGTAGACTGCTCGTACTGGTTTTATGCGTCAATTATCTAGTCGATAATTCGCTGTCCTATAATTGGCTGTATCATTGCGTCATAAGGCATAAAGCCACAAGTTACGACAGTTATAACCGATGAAGATAACTAATCTGCTAAGTTCTTCAATTATGCCTTCCTAAAGACTTTCTACAATAATTCTGATTACATCACTCTGGTCTACTTCTGATGAAACATCGGAAATGATATGGAGTACGCTAAGGACATGTTCTGAATAGTACTAATTGAAAGAGGTATTATTTATATTCTTACTTCATTACTTGTTAAACAATAATATTGGAAAGTAGTATTCTCAAACTTTAAAGAGATCTAAATATTGATGTATAAGTATGAGTCACCTTGGAAACGATCATTTTAACTTTCGTGACTTAGTGGAAAGCTCTTCTTTAAAGAAAAAAATTTTTTTCTTGATGGATCGATTTGCACTAAGTTGTAAAACATCATAAACTCAACTTTATACTCATTTGAATATTATAAATATTTAATTTAATTAATTTTATAAACAGTTCAGTTAATATCCAATTTATTTGAATTTTTCAAGTCAAACTATGTTAATGATTTGAATGATACCATTGTTAATATATATGTAACTGGATGTTGATCAATCTCAGTTAGTATATGTACATCATGTACGATTTATCTCAACACAGCCATTATTTCACAAGTTTAAGACCATTCAGCTGGACGTACTTAGATTACAGTAGGTAAGTGAATGTAGCATTGGCTTTTCAAGTAAAAGTTACTGAGTTCGAGTCCCGTGATAAACATTCACGTTGGAATACAGATAGGTGCAACTAAAGATTTCCACATATGAAGAAAAAATAATCCTGGATTTCACTGCTAGCTAAACAACATCTATTAATTATAAACTTGATAAACATGTTTAATTATAAACTGATTTGCAATTGAAGAGGAAGAAAGTATTTGTAAAATCTCAGCGAAAGAATTTGGAGTAAATCCAAAGTTTCGCCTGGCGATCTGATCCAAGCTTTTCGACGAACTTGAGTGCAGAAATCAAACCCAGCACCGTATATCTCGCACGTGAATGTTTAGCCACTAGATCACTGAACTGGCATTCGAACTTGTTGGTGTTTAACTTTAATCATTTTGTAATATTGCGCATCACTGATTGATACACAGAGGTAGAAAACC